CTCCAAAATATATTTTATGGGTTTGAAATCGTCTCTATCTTGTAAGCAAATTTTGATTATAAAATAAAATATTTACAGTATTTTTTAATGTGAAGAGAGTTTTAATTAAATTTTTAAATTTTTGAAAGAAAAAAGTTTATTATAATTTACTTGTTTTGATTTTATAAATTTCTTTATTTGACTTAAAAGTGAGAATATAAATTTTTGTTAGTGTTGGACCCAAGTACTAATGAATTTTTCAATTTGAATAAAACTTGTAACAAAATTTATATTCTCACTTTTAAGCCAAACTAAAAAATTTATAAAATCAAAATAAGTAAATTATAATAAATTCTTTTGAAGTATTATAAACTTATAAATATCATTTAAAAGTTTAAAATTTTAACTAAAAGTCTCTTCATATTTTTTTAAAAAATATATAAATATTTTATTTTGTACTTAAAATTTCTTTACTATCATATAGATAAATTTAAATCCATAAAGATATTTTGAATAAAAATTAATTTTTTTATTTTCAAATTTTATAGAGAATGATTGAATATATTTTTTTTCTAAAATTTATTTATTGAAATTTGATATAAAATAGTAAGAAACAAAAAAAAAGAATTAATTGGTGACATTAAGGTAGAAGAAAAAATAAATTAATATGTCTTGTAATCTTGTAAAGCTAACAGTGAGATAAACCACTTTTAGCTTAAAAAATTAATAAAAATAAGAAATTAAAACGAAAACCAAATATATATACATAAAAAAAAACTTAAAATAAAAAACCTAATAAAGACAAAAAGAAAAAAAAAAGAAGAGAGAGAGAGAAAGAAATATCTTCGAATTTCTATCTCGCTAACGGGCAGGCCAACGTGATATTTTGAATTTAATACACACCCTCTTTAATAAGCAACTTTCCTTTTCCTTTCTTGTATGCCTTAAGCAGCTCCTTTTTCTCTAAAAAAATATGCTTAAAATGACGTCATGCTTGCAACATTATCAATGGCCCCGAAAACAAAAAGGTAAAACACAGTAAAATCATAAAAATATTGCTACTCAAGATGAACTCTTTCTGTCTTTTTAACACAACGGATAATGAAGCCTCTTATGTCGTAATGGTGTTGCCATTTGTTTTTTCTCTGGAAGCATAATGTCACCATGTTGCCGTCGAAAATCGTGTCATCATTTTCTTAAGACATTTGGTGCGTGCAAAACTAGATCTCTCTAATTTATATTAGTCAACCATAAACTATTCGTATTAATGTTGAATAATTCATATGAAATTATCTATTTTAGATACATGATGATAGAGTTTGAAATTTTATCGTAGTTAGAATTCACACAACGCAAGTTTCACTCAATCAACTCTTTATGGTTAGGGTAAATTATAAATTGGCACTAGATATATACATGAGCTTTCAATTTTATCCTTCCCTAATTGATGCCATTAATTTTATCCTTGGATGAAGTTTGTTATGGGAATAAGATTAAAAGCTTTGTAACTTTTCACCATTTTTCTCATGTTTAGTACAATTTTAGAAAGGGAGAAGTTTTCAAGTAGCTCAACATCTAACCCCCTTTTTGGTGGGGTTTGGGGAGGGAGGATTAAAGGATTTTTCGATGGAAAAAAAATTAAATTTTGTATTTTGCCTTCTTTTTTATGATTTTGAATATGAGGTGGAAGTAAAAGGAAAATTTTTATTTTTTTTAAATTATGTTTTATAATTTCATTTCGTTTAATTTTTTATTTGACTTATATTGTGCTCTTTATTATTTATATTTTTTCTAATTCCTATCAAATATAGTTAACACTTTACATTTTCTAATTCCTATGAAATGCGAGTTAACACTTTATATTTTAATAATTTTTACATGCATATTTGATCGTGCTTTGCTTACAAGTAAAACATTTTTTTAGTTGATTATAAAAGAAACGAGAGAAGACATATTTATCTCATAAATCAATTTGTATCTACTTTTGTAAGGCGAGTATGTAATGCTCCTAACTCACTTACTATTTCTAAATAGGAGCGACTAGGTTCGTTACATTATTAAACCTAAAATACCGACTAGTTCCCTATACTACAAAACCGAAATTACATAAAATATTAAGCAATGGAATATGTGTAATAAGATTTACGTGGTATTAATAATTATAGTCACACGGATTACAAAATGTCTACGATGTCGATTACCCACAAATAGGAGAACAATATCACTTATCTACAACCCTTGAAAAGATTCCTATAATTTTGGGTAGCACATGAGCCCATTTAGTAAGAATCGACAGACTTCCTTGATAGAACTGTCTTTGTCTCTACCTGTTACACCATGAAAATAACAACAACAATATGAGCCAAAGCTCAGTAAGTAAGATGATGCACGTGATATGCAATGATTTCTTACTACCCCGTATTCATCTATTAATTTTAGTTCGGGTACCTTAGGTATTAACAAGTCTACTCCATTTCCATCTCTCGGTGATTGCCTTATCACCTACTGCTAACAACAGAATTATCCATCGTTGTAGCACATGGTTAGCGGAATTTTTCATCGTTTAATGGTGTAATTAAGTAATACGAGCACGCACATAGCTTCATTGCTAATACTCATTTAATCTAGTTTTGGTTACTAAACCTTATCAATTCTCAACCATTTAACTTTTCAATCTACCCACAAATGCATGTGATACATAATGATGTTTCATTTACCATAATCGTCAAGTTATGGGTACCAAACCCTAAATTCTCAAACCATTCTTGAAATTCAACCCATATATAGAAACACATATATGTCTCATATATCCGACATAAATATTTATTTGAGGAAATCAATTACCACCAAATATAATCAATCAATCAATATAATTCACTCCTTTAATAAGTATCTTCTCTTCATATGATTAATAAGTAATACCATTGATTTCATCATATAATTTTGATACCACTTAGCTTACATACACATCAATCATAGGGATCAATTGACTAAACATTTAAGGTGTAATTTCTTGCTCTAACCCGAATTTGGCCTTAATGGCCGAATTTAGATTTTAACTAATTTGAGCCATTTTCTTCAATTTTCTTGAAAGTTTACCTTCCTACACTTCAAATTATACTTACTCAAGTACAATTGAACCAACAATTCTAGTTTTGGATGAGTGAAACTCAAAGCTTAGAAATCAAAGTTTAGGTCGAATATACCCTAAGGATTTGCGTGGATTTTTCTTCAATTAAAGTAAAGTTTTTCATTCCTAAACACTAATTCATACTTAATTAAGCCATAATTAAGCTCTAGAACATCAATCACATGAAAGCATCAAAATCCCCAATTTAAGCAATTAGGCTCGAATAGTACCCTTTAAGGAACCCATCATCCATCATCTACCATTTCGGATTTATTCCTCCCATATCCACATCAATAATTATTCACTAAAAATAACTTTGGTCTAAGCCCATCAATTTATTAACCTAACCCAACAACAAATATTAAAGTATAAAACAAAGCTTTATAAACTTTAATGAGTAAGCATATCAATAAATCATCAAATACCCAAGATAAGCCAATAAACTCATATCAAGCTATCAAAACTCACAATATCAATATAAGCAACCCATAAAAGCATAATCATCAACTCAAGGAATTCACATAAATCAAACACTTAGAAATTCGAATTTATGTTGTAAAATAAATCCCTTTTACTTGATTCAAGTTCCTAGAAAATCTCTTAGTCTTTTTCTTCTTTTTTCCTTCTTTCTTTTTTTCACTTTTCTTCTTCCGTTTTCCCTCTTCTTGTTTGGGTTTTTTTTTTTTTTTTTGAACTAAAATCTTCTAAAAGTGGCTGGCCATTCCTTAGCTTTCTCTTATATATATTCATCTTGTCTTCCCTTATTAATGAACTTAACAAGTGTCTTAATTTAAGCTTGTGAGGTATAAAGTGGTAGAAGGAATTAGAAGCTTAAGTGACGGATTTTAATTAAAAGGTATGTGGTGTAAAGTAGTAGAAGAGTTTAGAAGCTCGGGTGGCAAGTTTTACTCAAAAGATAGGTGATGTGAGTAAAAATTAATCCTAGAGGTATTTTAGCCTAAGAATTTCGACACCCTCATAAAGTTTAGATGATTTTTTTTTTTTGCATGGCATCTTCTAGATAGGAGCTAGGAAAAATAAATTGACAACTAACTAAGTTATTCCAAAATTTATTCCCATAAATAATCACATGAACACCAAATATATTAAAACTACAAAGATATTAATATGTTATACAAATTACATCCACATTTAGTGTGTGTATATATATATATATATATATATATATATATATATATATATATATATATATATATATATGGTTGAGAATTTTCACGGGAGTTACACAAGTATACCTTTTCTTTTTTTTAAAAAAAAACAAATACGAGATGCAATTGAATAAAATCAAAACAAATATACAAACAAAATAATAGAAAATATATTTTTTTATACAAATTTTGTTTCTTTCTTTGCCTCCTAAAAAGTAAAAGAGTAAATTATAAATTAGTTCTCCTAGTTTCATAAAACAAATTAGAGCATTTCTTTAATTTTAAAAACTAATTAATTAATCCATTTCTTTTGTTTTATTTTTTTCAATTTTTTAGGAATTAGAAAAAGAAGTAATTAATATAAAAAAATTAATGAGTAAATAAAATATTATTAAATTAAATATGATTAATCCTAATTAAGAGACTAATAAATTATTTAATTCGTTTTGTAAAACTAGAGGTGCTAGTTTATAATTTACTAAAAATAAAATAAAATGGAAAGTTATTATTGTTTTTATGTTCCTCTCTCTCTCCTCACTCTCTCTCTCTCTCTATACATATATATATATACACACACGCGCTATTGACTCCGACTTTGCTCGATTCAGGACTATATATATTTTCCTCTTTCTCGGTTTTGCTTGCTCCTTCAATTTTTTTCCCAACTCTTAAACGGCACAAGACCAGAAAACCAAAACGAGCAGAGAGAGAGGAGGTAAAGAATGGCGACTTTGGACTCGGATGTAACCATGGTTCCTGTAGGCGAGACGTCAGGCACTGCTGGTCCTTCTTCCTCTAGGAAACCAAAGCGTTTCGAGATTAAAAAGTGGAACGCCGTCTCTCTCTGGGCTTGGGGTACTGTACCTAACTAATATACTAACTAAGTAATTAATCCCAACTAATTCATTCGATTGGTCTGGTCTTTGCAGATATTGTTGTTGATAACTGCGCGATTTGCAGAAACCATATAATGGATCTATGTGAGTTTTCTTTTAGTATTTTGGTTAGGGTTTGATATTTTAATTATAGGAATTTCATTGATTATTGATCATTGATTAGGTATTGAATGCCAAGCAAACCAGGCTAGCGCTACTAGCGAGGAATGCACTGTTGCTTGGGGTATGCTTTCATTTTTGTTCTATATCTATGTGTTTGTGACTTTTGATAATTATTGTTGTTGTTTTGTGCTTGGAATGTACAAAGGTTAGGGCTATAGCCTCAGACGCAATATTTAACTAAACTTAAACCAATTCTCGATCCTAAAGTAGCTTGGTTCAAGGGGCCCTACTCTCTAGACAATGGAATAGAGCTTGCACTTTATCAACTCTTCCATTGTTTTCTTATGTTTTTATTACCATATTCCCTTTTTAGAGTGATGGTGTTTCAGTTTTGGATTTTGACAGAGAATGTTGTGACGAATTGTTGGAATTTATAGGAATGTGCTATGCTTCTGATTCTCACCTAGTTATCTTTATTTTCTTGGTCTATTTCTCTGTTTATTTTTATTTTCTTGGTCTGTTTCTCTGCTAGAACTAGTGTTTAATTATTTTAGATGCTTATTGAAATATATGGAGTTATCAACTCTCATAAGTTTAATTGGAGCTAAGTTCTTGTTTATTATTTTGGCACATATTATGACTTGTGAGCCATACCATAAGTTTCACAATTTTGACTTATTTACAATTTTGGAATATGAATTCAAGATCATATAACAGTAGTTGACTGTGGTGGCTTAGTGGTAGTGATGATTAGATATTAATTGCAAATCTTTTACATTAACTTGAGTAGATTGCAATTCTTTCTTCATTTAAGATTTTTTAGATTCACTTCTTTGACCGACTACTAGTTAAGATGTTGTTTGCATGCTCGTTTTGTTAATCCTACACTAATTGCAATGGTATTTATTTGTTAATGCATCTGAGATTGCTTCATGACTCATTCATGATACACTTTGCCAATATGGTACAAAAAAACATGGAATCCTACATCCAAACCAAGTATATAGCCTAGATGCTTCAATTTGATCAATTGAGGCCTTTTGGGCCTAGAAACCACTCAGATTGTATGCAATGGTTGCTTCCTCTGAACCTTCTGATTTGTGGCAACTACCGCTGAAGCTTTGTTACCAGAGTTCTTATAGATTTTATTATTTTTTATTCTGGCTCTGTCTGCTTTTGAGAGTAGACAACAATGAAAATGCTTTTGAACTTCTTTGGACTGTCTAGACATGTATATCTTCCTTTTCTATACTGATAAGCTGCTTCTAAAGAAATGATAGTGGTTTTCTGTGTATTCTTTAAATTTTGTTATTGTGCAGAATTGAAGCTGGAATCCTAAAAGTTTTTATCTTTACTTTCATTGTTTTTGGAGATATTGTATGTAAATTATAACTGAAGCAGTTTAATAATGATGTTTACCTTGTTTGTGTTCCTTTGTTTATCTTCGCTTGCTTTTTAATTTGTTTCTTATACTTGTGTCTTTGAGTTATAAAATATGTCAAAAGGTGTAAGTTAGGCTGCCATTAGCCCCAATGTTTAAGCAAGCTTGGTTTTTATGTCTGTAGGGGTGTGTAACCATGCATTTCACTTTCACTGCATCAGCCGATGGCTCAAGACTCGTCAAGTGTGCCCATTGGGTATGTTTCTTGTTACTGCCCCCACTTCTTTTCATCTTCTCACCTATAGATTTTCTCAACTGTTTTTATTTTTGTGGTGATGTCTTCACAGATAATAGTGAGTGGGAGTTTCAGAAGTATGGCCACTAGTACATTTGGGCATTATTCATTCTCATTACAATGATGCCAAGAACACCTGGATTCCTGACCGCTAATGCGCTTTACCTCTTGTTTGTTCAACTTATACTTTTATGTTTATGATTGAAATTAAGAATTTGACACATTCTGAGGGCAACTTTTGATAGTATTAAGCAAAAAGTCACACTGTGGGTGTGTATGCAAAGTCTGTTTTTTCCCCTTGTTGATAAATGTTTGATGTTTATGCCTTTCTTGTTTGTTGTTTTCTGACTTCCTTTCTGGTTGCTTCAATGCGGGGATTATGCATGCAACACATACACGTGCTTCTGAAGATCTTTTTGATGCCCTACATAAATTAATTCATGCAATTGTGTCTTCTACTTAGCAAGCTAGCAGCTTACCATCGATTCTGGTTCTGTGTGCTTCTGTATGTTTTTATTGAGAAGCCATTCTTTTGAAGCAAAACTTTGCTATTGGTGCTATAACAATAACAGAATGTGGGTAGTTCATGCAAATGAGAGCAGCCTTCTATTAGACGTTCTTTTAGTTTCTAAGTCTGGAAGGGAAAAAAAAAACATGGTTATTGCTGGTGTCATTTAATATTTGTATGATTGAGAAACGCTTACTGTAGAACGGCAAGATCCTGATTGTTGTTTCTAAAAGCTAAATATCGATGTTTGTAATCTTGAAGTTTGTGGGATTCCATTCATTCACCACATGTTTCTTTGGGTCAACTACAGGCAGACAAAGCCCCTCTTTCATGTTGTGGGCAAGCTATCCACCATTGAACTTTTGCAGGGACAATAAAAGAGAATGAACATTAATCGCATTCGAAGCGTGTGGCCTTTTTAGCCAACCAATACTTTTGGGCCCATTGTGGATCTTCAGCAAAAGGCCTCTTAGCCCAAAATCCAGAGATGGAAACAAAAGGTAAATCGACGCCTGAGAGATTCGAACTCTCGCGGGAAACCCCATGTACTTAGCAGGCACACGCCTTAACCACTCGGCCAAAGCGTCGACCATGCACAGGTTGTTCAATAAAATTAAATATTTATAAAACCCCAGGCTATGGCCATATCCAAATTATTCTCGATAGACACCGCCAGTAATTTACTTTAAATAAAACCTGAGCAAAATATGTAGTGCGTCGTCTACTTCAGTACATGGGCTTCCACCATGTTCAAGTCTGATCCGTAAAAATATCTTGTTGTATAGGGCCACTATTGCATTTGCATTCTACTTTTCATTGCATCTTTTCGCACCAACAAAAAGTTGTTTCAATAAATAAACAACTAGGTTAGTGACTGATTCCAGTTTAGTGTCTTAATTAGTATTTCTTCGGAATTCCTTTTTCAAGAACAAAGTTGTTAATTGATGATAATTCAATAAAGTCAGAATTTGTTATTCAAAATCCTAACAAAAGAGAAAAAGAAAAGGGTACATACCATAAAGTTGTATAAATTAGTGCCAAAGTGCATGATTATGATTATGAAAATGATTATGGTTATGGTTTTTTGCTTTTGAAGACAGCTTCCAATTACCAATTAATGGTATTGTATGCATGGGGTGAGAGAAAGCATCTGCTCCATGTGCAACTCATAAGCAAAGAAAAGGGAAACAAGAAGAGAACTTTCTGATTTGTTCACACCCACCCTTCAACCCATTTAATATATATCAGAATTCATAAGGAGCACACACAAATAGGTAGAGGTCTAGCTGTTTTATGAATGTTGTCTTTATATATGTTTTCATACCTAAAGTCACGTTGCTGTTCACACACTTCACAACTACTATGTCTATAAATCAATGCTTTAAATGTTGCTCACTCCTGAAATTCATGTTTCCTATGCAAATTATGTATCGCGGTATGTTCGATGGATGTCATCCTTTCGGTGATGACTTTTATTTTATATTTTGAGAAACACCAAATATTTATTGGATTAGTGATAATGAATAAGATTAGACACGATATATATATATATATATATCTTACAATGGAATCAATTTTTTTGAAGGAAAACCTCAATGTAGTCCTAAACATATTACCTCATTATCAATTAAATCTCAAACCTTTTGATTTTCTCAATTTTACTCAAAATGTTATCGACATCAGACAAATACATAGTTATTGGCTGTAAAACTATTTTGTTCAATTTTCATATGATTTGCATATGCTCATTAAATACTTTCATTAAAACCATCAAATTAAATTCTAATACGACCTAAGGACAATTTTAGCATTAAATTTTAATAAATTTCACTCTTTCATTTTATTTACATCATAAGGTTTGCTAACTGAAGTTGACAGAAGAAATTTATTGACAAATGAATGAAATATTAGAAAACGGCAATTGATAAACATTTTTTTTTAAGAAAAAAAATATAAATGATATATTTGAGGGAGGTAAAATGAAATTTACCTCTAAAGAAGATTCTATGGTGCTTCAGATGTAATTGGGGGGACATCTTTTGTTGTTGATGCAACAAATAATTGTTAGATCTCTTGGTCTCAAGAGTTGTCATGCATATACTCTTATTAAAAAATCAATGTTTTAAATTTTTTACCATAATTACTCCTTGAAATTCCCTCAAGGCTCAAGCACATGAAGGAGCCTTTTACTGATAGGAATTTCTTAATAACATTTTCCATAGTTTTTTTTTTTTTTTAACTTCATCTCCTCGTAAGGAATTTCTTAATAACAATTCTTTCTTTCATTTTTATTTGTTCTCTTTTCAGAATTCAGATATACATGTATGGGCAGCAAGTGGTTAAGGGCAGTGGATTCTTTGTTTAGGACAAAACAAGCAGGGTTGTGTTAGTGTTGGAACTCTCATGGTTTGGCATTGGTGCTGAATCACTATTGCTATATGCCCCATTTATTAAAAACCTCAATGGCTTGGTAGGATCCATTTAGTGGAACCTTTGTAGCGTTAGGTAGCTAGGCAGACCCACTCGCATAATAACAAATGAAGAGAAAGAACAATGCTGTTTGCACTTTTCTCTTTACTTATCGATTTTTGGGTCAGCATTATCCATTGAAAGCACGCGGAAAAGGCCCCTTTAATTAACGAAAATGCTTTACAACATTACAGTGACATACACTATTTTTAAAAATAAAAAATATTTAAAAATAAATTTGAAAAATAAAAAAGTTATGTAGCACTACTCTTTAATTAATTAAGCAAGCTAATCAAAAGGTCTTGCACTGGAAAAATGGAGGATTACAGAGTTGTTGCACAAAGAATTAAGTAGGATATATGGCCCAGATCCCTCCTATTATGCGAAGTAATACAACGTAATTAATTAATGGGTACCTTCTCATCTCATCAAATCTTAAGTGTGCGTGTCCATATATATATATATATATAATGTTGTAATGCATTTGCATTGCCTTGGGAACTTGATTATCACCTTTGTGTAGGGCATGGCAAAAGTTAATTGTTGAACATGCCGCACAAAGTTGTCCCTAAATCATTCACAATCATTTTTCTTTCGCAAACTTTTGACCATGATTTCCTACAAATATAAAGGAAAAGGGAAAGTGAACAAAAAAAAATCTTGGACACAATGAATGGTCATCTTTGTTGCTATTACGTATAAATTTCATACTCCTACGTACATTACAAATTCTGTTTCTCGTTGAAAGTAGTTTTTTTAATTTATTATTATATATACAGAATTAAGAAGTTCAAACTTGGTACTGATTAGTGTAAGTACTGATTTATTGTAATTACAATTACTTTGCAATCATTAATTGTATTGAAAATTTTGCACATTCTCATGTCAAGGTGTAATCATCATAATCGAACCCTCGTTTGTTCTTGTTCAGTGCAGATCAGGAAGATTAGATAACACACAAGAAGCACTTACTTGGTTTTCTTCTTTAATCTTAATTTTTTAGCCTTTTCATGGACCATTGATCATGTATAAGCTATTGTGTGGATTCTCAAATTCAACTTTTTGGTCAAAAGAAATGTTTCTTCTTGTTGAAGACTCAAAGTTAACAAATTTTGAAGCCTAGCTAGCTTTTCCAACGTAAGTGCTTATGTTTTTATTTTTTATTTTTACTTTCTTGAGAATTTAATGAATTGCTTAGTCTAGTTAATTTTTTGTTCCTCTTATGAGGTCCACAACACATACGTACATGCATGTGACCTACCATAAAACTCAATTAAAATATATTTTAGCTTCATGAGAGTGATTAGGAGTGTTCCAAAATTCATGTAACAAAAGCCTATCTTCACAATAATTAATTCCTGGATAGGATAAAATATAAGGTGAACTACTGGTTAAAGCTGTTAGAGCGTCAAAATATGTCAGGTTTTGAACTATTGGTTAAATTACAAATAGTCTCTATTTCATTTATTTCGAGTAGGTAGTCTGAAAAAAAAAAAAAAGAGTAAAAAATTGGTCTTTCTGATAAGTTAGATTAAATTTCTACTCATTTAGGTTAGTATTTGTCACGGGACTAGCACAAATACAATCATACATGTTCGAGGTTATTTAGTATCCCACTAGTTGATTGCTCGCGCTACGCTATAGGTCTAGTAGAATAAAATCATTTTAAATTTTTTTAATTATAATTTTTATTCAATTAATTTTTTCTAATGTTTTTTATAAAATTTTTCTTTAATAAAAAACATAAATCATTCTTCTTTATGAATTGATTTTAACTAAAATATTAATCGAGAAATAAAAAAATTAAAAATATATTTTTCATAATATTGTATAACAAAAAATAAAATTATAATCAATAGATAGACTTTTATAAAAATTAACAAATGAAAAAAAAATTATGTAATGCTGATGAGAAGACTAATTTTTGAAATTATCCACGCAATGTTGTAGGTAGATAGAACAAAATCATTTCAAAATTTTATAATGTTTTCATAAAATTTTTAAACATTCTAAGAATTCATGATATATATTATATAAATTTATTTATTTTTTAAAAAAATCAAGTTTTAAGATTTTATTCTAAAATTCAAACATAGAGTAAAATAAATTATTT